CCCGATGATCAACCCAACTAAAGAATTGGGGATTTCAAACTCGTACATTGGCCGAAACGGCGGGTCTGCAACATTGTCATGCGCAGGACTCATAGAGGAGGCGGGACCACCAGTTGCTCTACCGCTGTCTTGGGATCCATGCTAAAAATTACCCCCCATACGTAATTAAGTCCAAATATAAAAAGAAAAAATTCTATTATTTACACTGTTTAACATTTAGAAGACAGATTTCTCCATCTTCCCTAAAAGTGTACTCTGGTCCAAAGTAAAAATGACTTCAAAGACAGCAAAATCAAAATAAATGGTACCAAGTTAACAGTTAGTAAGCAGTGCTTATTTCTCTCAATCAATAAACTATAGAGAAACTTACTTCTAACGGCTTCCACACCCAAAAATAGCAAAAGAGAAAGAAAGGAAATACAGGAGGCCTAACAAACTTCTACCAATGAGAATGTGAATGTGCGAGAAAAAAGCAAAATTACTTTAAAAAGTTAAATAAGTACAAGATTCAAAAATAAAGAATAATCTGCACTTGTTAAGCTATTTCGATCTGGTTAGTCTTCTTATCAAACCATGTTTAAAAAATAAAACCAGAATCAAAAATAACTTGACATGCCAAAGAAAATTATTAAAATATTACCAGTTACTGAAATTAAGATATTACAACAGAAGGATGTTTCCTCAACTGCTAGGAATCTGTCAACGACTGTCTTAGACAAAAAAAAAAAAACAAAAACAAATAAATAGATATATAAATAAATAGATAGATAGATAAATAAATAAATATATATATATATATATATATATATATTAAATAAACAAATAAATAAATATATATATATATATATATATATATATATATATATATTAGGCATAATTGTTTCTTAATCTACATTTATAATTATTTACTAATGAAGATTTGAAAAACTATAGCTCCTGAAAGTGATAAGAACATCTGCGCGAGTCCTTCTGCAAGCCATTTCAAATCTTATTACTAGGAGCAACACATATGCGACTATAAATAATAGAAAAACATTAATGCAAAAGAAACTAAGAAATTCCAAAGGTTGCACTATTAGCTATAGAAAGCGAACGAAAAGAACCCTCAGCTGGAAAAATTTTTTAAAAATTTACTCCCAGTGCCAACCAGTCATTAATAAAAAAGAAAAACTGAAAAGAACAAGGTCCTTATACCGCAGATTTCAGTGGAGGTAGTCGTTTTATCCATTAAACAAAATATAAACTTACAGAAAAGTTTTCAAGTCAACATAGATCTACAAAGCTCAGAAGAAGAGATTCGAATCAACACCTCTTTCAAGCGGCCTACACAGAAACCTGTTCAGTGCGATTACTTAAAAAAAAAAAAAAAAAAA